GTAAATATTTAATGTATTACTATTCACACATTAAAAGTGAAATTATAGAAAAATATGTATTGACATTGGAGAGATGTTTACAATAAATAATGTTAAATAAAAAAAATGGAATGTATCATATGATCCTATTTTGGTAAAAATGTGCATATGTGATTACATACATGCACAGAAAATGTGAACATTTAAACACCCAAATGTCAACTGTGGTTATCTCTGAGTAGTGTGATTACAGGAGGGTTTTATTTTGTTCTCTTTACTTCTCTGCATTTATTATATTGAGCGTGTTTGCATGCATAATAAGATAATCAGTAAAAGGTATTAAAATATGCTTCTGTTCTATTTCATGTTGTAAGAGTTAAATGTCGTACCATTCCTCCCCTTAGATGGTAATTATCCCTCTGTATTCATCCAACTGTCTTGATCCATGAATTGGTTTAGTTGGAAGTGCCTGGTAGCTAGACATTCTCACTCAGGACAGAAAAGGCAAGTCTGTGAAGAGCTGTATTTCGTTCACATCCCTGACCCCACCCAAAAGATACAACTTTAACTTCAGAGATGGGCTGAGTATGACTGAAAGGTAGATTTCAAGTTGGCTTTCTTCTTCTGCTATAACTAATCTTGTTCTTCCACCAAAGAATTTCAGAGTAATCTCACTCCAAATATTAATACTTTACCACTGCAGTGAAATTCATGAGAATAACTACTAAAAGCAATCAATTATAAAAACAAAAAATCGAATAAACATACCACTCCCAAATGTTCTGGTTCATCTCAGCAGTGATAGAACATATTGCTTTCCATAAAAAGTAACTTCTGAAAAGAAAAGAAACAAGCAAAAGCTATTCCTTAGAAAGTCTTGAACAAGTTTAGTGAATTATCATAAATGTACAGAGGCCAGCCCTTCACTGGTGGGCATGTGGGGAGGTCATTCTTTCCACTCTGAGGAAAGATCTTCCCCAGTGCCTCACATCCAGCTAGGCACAGTTGCTGGAAGCCTGGATGCATTATTTTCGGTCTCCTTCAAATTTAATTATTTTACCTAAGATGCAAAATGTTAGCATTGAATGTCACTTAAAAATACTGTTCAAAGACAAATATCATATGATATTGCCTATATGTGGAATCTAAAAAAAATGGTAAAAATGAACTTATTTACAAAACAGAAAGAGAGTCACAGATGTAGAAAACAATCTTATGGTTACCAGGCGGGAAAGGGATGGGGGAGGGATAAATTGGGACACTGAGATTGACATATACACACTACTATATATAAAATAAATAACTAATAAGGACCTACTATATAGCACAGAGAATTCTACTCAATACTCTGTAAGGGAGTGCAGAGTACTCTATGGGAAAGAATCTAAAAAAGAGTGGATATATGCGTATCTATAACTGATTTACTTTGCTGTACACCTGAAACTAACACAACATTGTAAATCAGCTATACTCCAATAAAAATTAAAAAAAAAATACTGTTCATTCTCTATGAGAAGATAAAACAGTGCTCTCTCTTCACTTCCTTGCTTTATACTGAAACAAAACAAAACAAACTAAACTCTTATTTTCAGACTGGAGGTGGAAAAAAAGTTTGGATTTTTGAGAGGTGAAACAGGAAAGAACATCTTAGGTAATGGAATCATGCAAGATCATTATAAGACTTTAAACAATTTCATTGTCTTTGCTGTAGTTGGTTAATCAGTTAAGGCAAAAGCGGTTGTAACTTCTAATAATGTCTTGATTTTGCATTACTTTCCTCCTTCCTCATTCCATTATTCTCATCCAACAAAAATGAGAAATCCAGAATGTTTAGCGTAAAAGCAGTTGAAATTTTTAAAATGTTTTCTTTTTAAGGTTTCAAAAACCTCTGGTAATACTTTTAGGTTACATGGTACTTTAATATATCAATTTAGCTATAAATTTAGAGACTAAATTTTTATTTTTTATTTTGCTCTGGAAGGAGCAGTATCATTTCTCTTCAGAAATTCTGGTGGGTAGCTTGACGATATGACACTGGAAATAATGGGACAAGAAGAAACAGCCTGGTTTGACAGAGAAGCCCATTTTAACTTTTGTTGGTATTCACTAAGGTTTTTCACATAAGTACATGTGAATAACTTTTTTAAATGTCCAATTCTTGCAAAAGCAGTTTTGAGGCTTTAAAGTGTTAGCTCTCACTTAAATATCCTGAAATATCCTCCTGAGATGGCTTGCTAATTCCTAGAGTAGTTCCCTGCCTCACACTGTGTCAGTTTGGGAAAGAAAAAAAAAAAAACCATCCTGATAACACACACCCATAAAATTCTCTCTTCATATCACTCTCCAATCACCGTCTTCTGCCTTCTGAGGCTAGACTCTCTATCGCCCCCCTCATGCTGTGTGGTTCCCCTAGAAGGTCTCCCCACACTCCAGCCCCTGAGTGACAAGCAGACCCTAAATAAGCTGGGCCATTTCAGTCATTTGCCTTCTCTTGCTTAAGCTGATCTTTGCCAGTGATAATCCCCTTGCTCCTGCCCTCTACCCATCTGAACACATCCTCCTCTGTTGACTCAGCCTTTCTCCAAGACCCCATCCCAGATACAATTAAAAGAACTCCCTTGGCTGTAGTTATTGTTCGCACAGGGAATTGTGTCATCAATAAACTACCCCCCAAATTTTGTGACTTCAAACAAGGACATTCATTCGCACACAGTGTCGGCGGGTCAGGAATCTGGGCCCTAGCATGGGCCCTCTGGCTCTCAGTCTCTCACAAGCTGCAGTGCTTCCTAGCAACTCACATGGAGGTTGGCAGGATTCAGATCCTCACAAGTTACTGGACTGAGGCCTCAGTTCCTTGTGACCTGTTGACCAGGGGCTCTGTTGGTTCCTTGACTCAGAACAAGACAGGTTGCTTTATCCAGGAGGAAGTCGCAGTCTCTTGTAACCTAACCATGGACATGTATTCTGTTGGTTAGAAGCAAAGCACTAGCTAAGCCCACACTCCAGGGTAGGGGATTACATACTAGGAGGTGGGGCTAACTGGGGACTAAGGCATCTTCTCCCACAGCCTGTGGGTACCTTTGGGCAGGTAGGAGCCATAGGCTGGATGGGAAAGCTGCTTATCCTCTTTCAGTTTTATGTCCCTGCCTCGAATGGTGTGGGCATCTTAATGCCATGACTGATTCCAAGACTGGAAGAGAGGTGTGTTCTAAATAATTCAGCTCTTAAATGCCATTTGAAAGTCAACTTCCTCATCTGATCTTCAACTGAAGAAAAATGGTATATTTTAGTACTGGAAGAAGAACTCTCTGTGTCGGACTTACTAAGAAAAGGTGATAGAGCTCCCGGTGCATTGTAAGAGAGATTGCAAATGTAATCTCGACTAAGCAATTGGGGGTTTATATCCTGAATTTAATTTTTGACCCACTTTAGGATAAAGAGTCCTCTGCATTTTCAAATGCAGCACCTATGAAACTTTGCTTCCTTTTGTTCACTTGCCTCTCTTTGGGTTGGGAGCTACTTGACAGCTTGGTCTATGTCTATTTCATTTCTAACACCAGCACTTTACCTGGCACTTAGGCTCTCAAAAAATATGCACTAATATGATATATTTTTCTGTGTGTTTGATACACCCTGTACTAAATTTACTAAGCATTGCTAGAGTTTTCATAGTTGAGAATTTTACACATCTTCTTCTGGCATAAATGCTTAAAAAGAGTGACCTGGGTCTATGATATCTGTAATTTCTGTGTTATTTTGCTAGTTCACTAGAGCACTAGCAGTTTTTGCCCTTGAATCAAAGTTCTCTACTTTTCTCTCCACAGTTTCCAAATATTTTGTCCTTTTGAGTCAAGGGAATTGCCCTGATTTTATGATGACATTTGGGTACGATATTTAAACTGTTAGAAGTTATAAAAACGACCCTTTGGTATTAAATGTAATAAATGGCTCTGAATTGAATACATGCACAAGTTCTCTTATATGAGCTTTGTGAGCCCAAACTGCTCCAGTTACATATTCTCATTGTAATTGGATTCTATGACATTCTCTCATCCCCCAAGAGTATGGCAGGCCATGAAAATTTCTTCTGGCTTGGTGCTGGTGTTTACTTTGGGTCTTTTGAAATTTTGGATTTCATATCTAACTAGTGTATGGAACTTGTAGTAATGTTGGTCCTCCCAGTCCTGAAGAGGCAGGGGTGTCTCTGCAAGAAAACAAATAAAACAAAACTTATTTGATTCCTAAGAGATTTATTGCAACCCTCAAAGAAAGCCAGGTTGGGAGGGATGATTTTTAGAACTGACTTGTCTTTGTTCAGCCTCACCTTTACCAAGAATATTGTCTTTTCTTTACTCGTGGATAGTCTGTACTGGGTTCATTTGTCCTGGCTTGTGTTTTTCTTTGTAGTTCTACAATATTGTGCTTGCATGTCTTCAGTTAGACTATAAACTCCTCAGCATCAGAGGTTATTCTCTTCTTTCTTCTTCTGTTTCAATATCTTTGATCTCTTTTCCCATTTTATACCCACTTTCACACCACTCCAGAAATAGGAACCGGCACATAGAGGGCTAGTTTAGATTCACAGTCGATGCTTCAGAGTTGACTGGAGTTGAGAGGCTGGCACATGTCTGGACTCTCGTAGTGAGGGATGAATGTGAGTTCCAGAAGGCCTAGGTAACAATACTGAGTTAACTCTACATGGTTAAAGATGGGTGCCAGACTCCCCTTCGACCCTCGAAACACACCAGTGTATGTTACTGCCATGAAATTGCACTGTAATATTTTCTAGCTGTGATTCATTCACAGTTTAATATGCTTCTAGTTCTGGTTTGACTTTTCCCCCAGGAAGAGACTAAAATCTCTTCATTATAATATAGACAGCGTACTGCACTTGGAATACAAATTTATCCATGTTCAGAGTAATTTTTCTTGTGACTGTCTCTACCCTGGAGAAGTGCCTTTAATGAATTACATACAAATTGTGTAATTTAAGAAGTTAATTTGGTTTTCTGGTTACACAGGACTAAAAACAGCCCTTGTAGAAAGAGATGATTTCTCATCAGGGACCAGCAGCAGAAGCACTAAATTGATCCATGGTGGTGTGAGATATCTTCAGAAGGCTATCATGAAGTTGGATATTGAGCAGGTAATTGTGTATGCTGGTTGTTAAACAAAAATTGCGACTGTGCTTTTTTCTACCCAATTAAATCAGTTTTTTTTTTATGGCTTTTAACATTCCTTCCTATTGGAAATACCTATTTAGTGTATTCTGCTGGAGTGTCTTTCAGGAGAGGTGTGCCATTTTTTTTCCTGTAGCATTATGTTTATGGGTAATCAGGGGCTTTTCTACACAGGCATGTCAAAGTAGCAGATTTACAAAATCACTTTTGGATGTGTTACTTTTTTTTTTTGCGGTACGTGGGCCTCTCACTGCCGCGGCCTCGCCTGTTGTGGAGAACAGGCTCCGGACGCGCAGGCTCAGCGGCCATGGCTCACGGGCCCAGCCGCTCCACAGCACGTGGGATCCTCCCCGACCGGGGCATGAACTCGTGTCCCCTGTATCGGCAGGCGGACTCCCAACCACTGTGCCACCAGGGAAGCCCTGGATGTGTTACTTTTAACAATTGTGATTGTTTTGTTTTGTTTTTTTCCCCACCAATGGCCACCAAACTGCTACTTCCCAAGCAGTTTCGAGGGAACTGTGTTGTAATACATGAGGAATATTAAACTGATCCTCTTAACTGCAGATGCAATCATACTGCATATTGTCACTGACATATTCTTAAGGAAAAGATGATCTGAGTCATGCTTTTTTTTATGTCACACTCTGTTGTGTCCAGTCTGCCACCATTTGAAAACTGCCAAGGCAGTGTGGAAGATGACATTTCCCAGAGGAGTAAAAAAAAAAAAAAAAAAAATCAACTGAACTCCCTATCTGCTTTTCGTACATGAAAAACACAGCAGCACTTACTTGACATTGTCAGTTTTGAATCTGTCCCCTTTTCTTATGTGTCTGTTTAGCATCATGATGGATGTGAAGAAAAGAGCATAGCGTTTAGAATCAGATGACTTGTGATGTGTTTCAGCTTATTTATTTAATTTCTATGAGCCTCGGTTTTCTTCTTTGTAAAATTAGTATTATGATAGTAATGCTGGGCCTTCAGAGAGACATAATGAGGACTAAAGACAAAAGCTTTTTAATGGTAGTCTGTAAAATACTGTGCAACTCTTAAGTATCATCTGTGCTTGGGCTAGTGGAGGCAAGAAGGAAACGTTTAACATGAATCTGAACAATCTGTTATCTCTTACATGAGAAAATATAATGGGGGACCGAGAAAAGGGACAGTACAGAGAATGCAAGATAAATTGTTACAATAATCTTGTAACTCAAGTCAGGAAAATATCTTACACCTGGGAACTCTGACAGCATGTTTTTCTCCTATGCAAATACAGTTTAAGGTTTCTAAAAAATCTTTCAGGTTGACAGCATGATGTATTATTAGAAATTTGATTAGGAGGGAGCTATCCTTGCTCAGAGGTAGAGAGGTTTCTGTGTATCAATCAGTTGGCAGGGTGTCTATTTGCCATTTGAAAATATTATGATCTGTTATTGCCAAACTAATTTTCTCTGTTTTGCTTTTCAGTACAGGATGGTAAAAGAAGCCCTTCATGAGCGTGCCAACCTACTAGAAATTGCTCCCCATTTATCAGCTCCGTTGCCTATAATGCTCCCAATTTACAAGTAAGCCTTTTGGTATCATCTGTGTACTCTTTGCTTATCTGAGGTCAATAGAACAAAGTTTTAATGGAAATAGTTCCTCAATGTGTGTTTCTTAATGTAGTTTTAATTAGTCCTAATCTTTAATCCTTTTAAAATATTTTCCTTTGTTGCATTTTAAAAAGTGTGACTTTTCCTATATTACTCTCTACTGACCCACCTCTAAGGGCTAGCTCTTGAAGGCAAAGGAGGTTGTGTTCTGCACTTATAATTAGTAGTTTTTTACTCCAGTTTCTGAGACTACATACAGGAGCAACTACATTTGCACTGGGGAATATAAGAGGGTCATTTGCAGACTAAAATGCAGAGCCAGAAAGAATCCTGCTGCAAAATCTGAACTGACATATATCAACTCCAAACCGTAAGCCATTTTGTGTCATTTTAAATTTCCGAGTTAACCAAAACTGAAATTTGGTTTGGAGGTGTCAAATAATCAAAAATTATTAAACCCAATTTTCTGAATGTTGTTAGAGCTATCCATCAAGTTGACTTAAGATGGAATACAGGTGGTAGGAAATACAGAATTATGTAACTCTGCTAGCTGCATGAGTCTTGTGGGGCCTGGAAGCAGATTTTATAATTTTTGTCTATATTTTATCATAGATTTCTTAGGACGTCTTAAGCCAGTGATTCTCTACCCAGGGTGTACATTAGAGTCACTCTGATCTTTGCCCTAGTCTAGTTAAATTGATCCCTAGAAACACGAGGCCCAGGCATCTATATTTACTTTTGATGCTCCCCAGAAAATCTAATATGCAGTCAGGTCCAGAACCACTGCCTTAGAGATGATTCATTTACTTTTATAATTCATCTAGTCTGGTGTCAGAACAGGCAGGCACTTCTCTTGTTTCTTTTGCAGTACACTTCTAGGTATACTTTGCTTTTCTTAATAAAAAGTGTCTTGTATCTTAAAGTGACATTCTATAATGTTATACTCTGTTTCTAAAGAAACCTTTTCCCCTATTTATGCTGTAGGTGGTGGCAGTTACCTTACTACTGGGTAGGAATCAAGCTGTATGATCTGGTTGCTGGAAGTAATTGCCTGAAAAGCAGTTATGTCCTCAGCAAATCAAGAGCCCTTGAGCATTTCCCAATGCTCCAGAAGGATAAACTGGTAGGAGCAATTGTCTACTATGATGGTATGTGATTTTTTTTTTTGACAAGATACTTTTTTGCCACTCGTGACCCTTACAGCATATTCTTAACGAGACAGTTTTGCATCCTAATTAATGTTAATCTTACACAACACACAAACGTACATGCACACACTCCACATAGTGTTTTGCTTTTAATATTGCTTGTTTTTGCATATTCCTTTTCTTCTTTGATTTCGACTTTGTATCTCATGGTTGGTTTGGTCCATTTTCCATCATTATGTATTTGGTCACCACCTTCATGCCATTTAATTTGTTATGTTTGCCAGTGAACACTTGCCTTATGAATATATTATAATGTTGAAAGCAGCTGAGGATCTGTTAGGTTTTCTAGATGAAACCTCTATTTTCAAGGGGTTATAAACCTAGAGAAAAATGCCCCCTGGGCTGAAATTGACATGTTTGTATTTCGCACAGGGCACAATTCTTGAACATATAATTTATGTGAGAAGGTAGATGAACATTGCATCTGTTAAACCAGTCCCTCAGGTTTTAATGCTTATTTTATTGTTGTTAGATGTTTTCTAACAGTGATATTATCTAGTACCCATTTGCCACGTGTTCAGTGTTCATTCTTTGTGTTTGTGTGTGTGTGGACAATACAGTTTTGTACACTTTTATTTGAAGGAACTAACCACTTAATGTATCTCCAGATGGACCACAATACAATACAAAACAACACAGGAAAAGCCATTTGTGAAGTTTTACTATAGTTTTAAAGGGTGAATGGATTTTAAAAGTAGTCCAAGGATGTCTATTTATAAAGAAATAGCTGGACACAGATAATTATACGTGTTCAAAAAGTCTTAGAGGGCTTCCCTGGTGGCGCAGTGCTTGAGAGTCCGCCTGCCGATGCAGGGGACGCGGGTTCGTGCCCCGTTTCGGGAGGATCCCGCGTGCCGCGGAGCGGCTGGGCCCGTGAGCCGTGGCCGCTGGGCCTGCGCGTCCGGAGCCTGTGCTCCGCAAATGGGAGAGGCCGCAACAGGGAGAGGCCCGCATAAAGCAAGAAAAAAAAAAAAAAAAAAAAAAAAAAAAAAAAAGTCTTAGAAGTTTTGTGGCACAAAGGCCCTATAGGGTCAGTGAGGTTTTTTTACCCCTGCTATGTGATCTTTTGTATTTAGTGTTAGATATCTAAACTCTTAACATGAAGAAATGTTTTTGTTTTTTTGTTTTTCCAGGAGACTTTGATATTTATACTCCATAACATGGGATATCCTTAAGGCTACCTACCTCTTTTTCTTCTTCTCAGTGTTAGGTTTCCGAATCAATTTAGCTGTCTTTCAGGCTTTCATATATGAATGCAAAATGTGTACGTGCAGATGGGGCAACGGGGACAAACCCAAGAAAATGTGTTAGGAGCAACAATATTAGAAAAATGTTAAGGGTCTTGGACAAACATTAAAAGCTAGAAAATTCACAGTTTACAGTGCCTTCCAGCATCTAAACACCACGGGGTGGGGAGCACTTAACTACTTTTCGTGCCCCTGATTGAGCCTACATGTTAAGGGACAATCTTAACTGTGAATATTCTTTCTCTGCTTCAGACCCTTAATGTTAATCCACTGTAGTTTGTTGGGTGATTATATTAAAGAGGTTTTTGATCCAGGAGGAATAAAAAGGCATTCTGCAAATGGCCCCCTGCCCATCCTGACATGCAAGTGTTTGTGCCCTTTGCCTTTTAGTTTGAATCCCTCCCTTGCAGACTCTCTCAAGAACTTGGCCATTTTCTCTACCATGTGATATATTGAACACGAACTACTTTTATTTGTTACTTTTATTTTTTTAGCTTGTGCATATCTGAACCTCCTTGAGAGGAATATTAGTGGCTGTCCTATCTGAATTTGTGCCATCTGTGTTATGTTGGTTTGATATTGTTATGAATTATAGATTCTTAACGATTCTACATGGAGAAACCAAGGGAAATCTATGTCATATACTGCAGGAGAAACACTATCCTATTAGAATCAAGAGGAAGAATTTCTTTTATCTAGAATTGGCTTTTATGGTTTCTTACAGGTTGCAAAATTATGAGTTTAGCTATTGAAAATTTAAAAATTATTATTTAAAATAATTTCAAATTGATATTTGAAAATTGATTGTGAAGCCCAAGTCTTGAAAAAGTAAGAATAATTCTAGTCACTGGAAATAATTTCTTTTTTAATCTTGTTCTGAAATGATGCAGGTCCAACTATGTCATGCCTGAGGCAAGACAAAACAACAATGTGAAACAGTGTAGTTCTATGGTTTCACAGCTATATTCACAGATAGGGCAACTCTTGTTAAAGCTAATGGTGTGATGAACAAATTAAATACCAATATAGAAATAAGGTAGAAAGGAGCATATAGTAAAGGAATTAAATGTAATAAATGTGTGCACAGAGAAAGGAAGGGATGACTAACCCTTCAACCAGAAAAATAACATTATTATCCTGCTACCAAAGTATTTCAGAGAGGAAAATATACTTCCTAAGCATATACCATTGCAATTGAAGTCTAAACATTGTAATTTATAAGATAAACATTTCTTAACAACAACAACAACAGCAACCAATACCCTTCTTAAATAATCATTATGAGAATGTAGTCACAGTCTCCCAGATGATTTCAAAATGCATTTGGGCTACACAAAATAACTTTTTTTTAACTTAAAAAAAGAATTTATTTAGGTGAAATTTACATAACATAAATTTAACCATTTTAAAGTGAACAGAAATAATAATTTTTATAATTCCCACCTTGAGAATCTTGATCATAATGAAAAAATGGCACAAGTAACTAAGTGAACTTTTAAAATCTACAAGAAATTTTGCCAGTTAACAGCTCTGATTGGTTATCCATCACACAGTTACTTCAGTACCAGTGAAAAATGAAAAAATAATGGTGTGAAAATATAGTCAGACAGACTACTACACATCACCATTATCATGGAGGGACCAGTGACTGAGTCCATCTTTAAGATTCTTTCAAAACTGAGATGTTAGTTCTGTAAGATATTCCCTCTGAAGTACAAAATGTACAAAGGTCAAAAAAATTTTCTTAATTATTCATGCAAACAGTTTATGCTAAAAAACCAGTGATGATCATTGCATAGAATTAAGGCAAAGTCTTTTCCTCTACAAAAGTCCACAAAGGGAAAAAGATAAATTCCACATACATTTTTTTTTCTTTTTATCTTTTTTTTTAATTGAGGGATAATTTACATATAACATTATGTTGGTTTCGGGTATACAACATAATGATTCAATATTTGTGTATATTGCCAAATGATCACCACAGTAAGTCTAGTTAACATCTATTACCATACATCATTACAAACTTTTTTTTCATATGATGAGGGTTTTTAAGATTTCTTAGCAACTTTCCAATATACCATACACTATTATTAGCTATAGTCACTATGCTGTACATTACATCCCCAGGACTTATTTATCTTATAACTAGAAGTTTAGGTCTTTGGCCACATACTTTTAAATGTATAATTATAGTGGCACTTCTGTGCTTGGCATAGGTACGATCCATTGCCATATTTTATTAAATTCTGAGAAACAAACTCACATATGTGGAGGAATAACTACCATCTTTTTCAGTATAGACAAAGTAAATGTCAAATTTCTCAGTAAGATCCATTTGAATTGAAAGTTGGGATAGGAAGTGACACACTAGTTTATTTTTTTTCTTATATTCTGTTAGAGAAAGCAATATCGTCGCCTCACTGGTTTTCTGCCTGAGACGTGTCCTAGTGTTTCCTCTCTGCTCCTCTCCATATCCTACCAGAGATCCACCAGCTGGACCCTGTCCGTGGCCATTACCACTGATCAGGGGGTCTCCACGTAGAGAGTGTTGTGACTGGTGCAACTCTCCCACGTCAGCAAAAAGTATTTAAGGCACGACAGGCTCGGGTGACTTGGCAGGCTGTGAGGTTATGTGAGCCAGCTGTGGAGGGCGAGCCAGTTTCCTCAGAAACTTACTTGGGCTTCCTCCGTCAACTTTACTTCAATCTCCCTGCTCCCAGAGAAGATCTTTGGTGCCATTCTAGCTGGACTTCAGTCATCCAATCCAGTGCACAGAAAATGAGACATAATTAAAAATCATTAAATATTTAAAACCATTAGATACCCCCATTAAGCTTCTGTAAGATGAAACTGGAGAACAAAATTACAGCTTTAAATTCTTCCTTCTGAGAGTCCAGGCGGTGACAGAGAGAGATGTCTGTTATTTCGTACCCGATGATGCCCTTAAGTATTCCTTATGCACATATGAAAATAGCAACCTATGAGAAATTACATTGGCTTTCCTAGTGTAAATAGAAGTTGGTTACAGCCATGTTTCAAAGGGGGAATTAAAGCCCAGGTTTCACTAGAATATTCATGTTTATTCCAACCTAAAACTCACAGCATACAAATAGATGAATTCAGCTCGTGAGAGAGCAAAGCCAATTTAATCTCTGGCTCCCCTGAGGTAAATGCAGCTCATGGTCCTGCCCCCGCCCCCCGCCCCAACCTCAGCTATAATCCCTGGCTCCTGGAGGTAAAAATGCACTGAAGTGAGGAAAATTCTGCAGCAGGATATAATGATCCAAAATGACAGGGACAATAATGACAATGAATTTCATGTCTCCCAGTCATGAGCTGGAGATGCTTGACTAGGCGGACTTATACAATTAAATTGTTACAGGTACAGCAGGAGATGCAGTTAGCTGTGAGCTTTGGGGAATGAGGCCTCTGGCAAAAGGCATATTGTGGAATCCAGACTCTTTTGTTAGGAACAAACTATTATTCCTCTAGGCATGCACCCGCAATCATATACGTCAATAAAAGAAAGCCTGGGTTAAAGACAAGTCTTTTAAGGTGTTGATTTTATCTACTTTGAAAGCTTAAAAAAAATCAATTACCCAATAACACAAAGGTGATTTTTTTTTTTAGTCTTATGTTTTCATTTTTGTTTTTCCATTGAGTTCTTGGAACATAAGTCAAATCTAAAGATGG